CGCGGGGATCGGCCCGGGGGGCCGGGGGCGCGGGGCGGGCTGCTAGCGGGCGACCGTGGTCGGCGGCGCTGGCGGACAGCGAGCCGGCCCGAGAGGAGCGGGAGGGAGCCCGGGGCCGCCGCGCCTCGCCGCCGCCCGCCCGCCGCCGGGGTCCTCGCGCGGGCCGCTCTCGAGCCGGGGAGGAGGAGGGTGGGCTGGCGGAGCCGGTGGGCGCGCGGGGCCGGGCGGGGCGCGGCCAGAGGGCGAGCGGGGAGCCGGGGAGGACGCCCCGGGCTCCGGCCGCGCACCTCCCGGGCCCGGGGGAGGGGGCTGCCGAGAAGGGGACCACATTGTCCGGGCCCCTCCACGCCGGGACTGGGCTGTCATGGAGGAGGGAAGGGGGAGGAGCGAGGCCTACAGACCGCGGCCGCGGGGCGGCCGGCCGGAGACCTGCCTTTCACGCGCGCCGGGCTTCCATTCATTCATCCATCCGTCCGTCCTCCCGGCGTAAGCGCGCACGCCTCCGACGGCTCTGTAGGTTCTCCTGCTCTTCCGCGACGTGATCGCCTGGAAGATAGCCAACCAGCCCTAAGATCGGAGACAGAAACTTTTCAAGATGATCTTTGCTTAAATTAAGAAAAGGAAAATCGGCATGCAGGCGGCGGCGCGAGCCAGGGCTTGGGTGTGGAAATCACAGGATGGCTTTGTGGTCCAGGGGATCGAAATCTGAGCGCTTTTAATGAACCATCTCTTAGGCCCCCCAGCGTCGCTCTTTTTCCCCCCTCCCACACCACACTTCTTTTCCTCTCAGTGAAAGCGCTGTTTTAAAAATTGAAGCAAGATGCTCACAGAGAAGCACATTGGTAGTTACCCGGTAGGCATGAGGTGGTCTTTTTTTTTTTTTTTTTTTTGGTCATGGTTTCATGGTTTGGGTTTGCCAGCATCTGGCTCACTGGTCAAACATCCAGGGTTTTTTTGTTTGTTTGTTTGTTTTGTTTTTTTAAGGAATGTCGAATCTGTATGATAAAGTCTCAGGTGCATAAAGGCATAGACTAGCAACCAAAAACCTTTGGCATAGAAACATTTGCAGACCACCGTTGCCACCGCCTATAAACTGAAGAATTTTGATTAGCTTGCAAAATGGCCTTATCCTGTCGGAATTCAAGGCAGTGTGTTTGTTTTTGTCGTGATCCACTTGTTCTTTACTGGCATCGGTTTTTCTGGCAATTTCTATGTTTGCAAAACTGCCCCATATGTTGTTAGTGAAATTAACTGACCTACCAAGAGGGGGAAGCATTTAAATTTAACTTAAATTCTTTTGACAAGTTCTGGTGTCTATTTCTGATTGAATCCTACATCTTTCCCTACCAGTGCTAGAGGAAAATATTACAACAGGTAATAACAGGGGCAAAACTAAAAGGACTTAATCAATAAAACAGCAGTTCTATGACATTTCAGTTACATTTAAGTCTTGGATTAAAGCTCCGATATAGAGTCACTGGATTTTGTTCTGAGTCAGTACTTAGAGGTGCTGATATGTTTGGAAGGGGAACCAAGCGATATTTAGAATGTAGAGCTATGCAAAATGTGGCTGTACTTTGTTTCTTGTAAGCTCTTACGGATGCCTTAGTGGTGGCCCAGTTGATGTGGACAGTGTGTCTAAATCTAAGGACAAGAGGAGCCTGGAAACCTAAAATGTGTGAGGGTTAAAACTGGAATTGAAACTAATGGAAGATCGTATGCAAAATGGCACTGAGGTGGTTCTTTTTCCTTTTTACTGTTAGTATACCCTTGTGTCTAAGCTAGTCATAGGTATTCTTTTTAGTATTTCTATGATTTATTTTTGGAGCTGGGTGGTGGCTGCAGACACCCTTAATCCCAGCACTCAGAAGGCAGAGGCAGACCTCTGAGTTTGAGGACAGCCTGTTCTACAAAGTGAGTTCCAGGACAGCCACGGCTACACAGAGAAACCCTGTCTCAAGCAACAAACATTTGTTTTTGGTGTTTGATTTCAGCTCAGGGCCTGGTGCATACTAAGCTCATTCTAAATTACACTAGCACCTTTTCAGCTTTAAGTGGCTAATTTATTCTGCTAGTACTGCAGTTGAGGTACCGGGTTGAAGCTTGTAAAAATATTATTTGATCATTGATATTTCAATTGTGAGTTTCTTTGTTTTTGTTTTTCTAGTGTGCTTAACTGTAAGCAGTAAGGCCAGTGACTCTCAACCTGTACGTTTCGCGACCTTTCTGGGGTGGAATGACTCTTTAATGGGCTGCCTAAGACCATCCAAAAATACAGATATTTACATTATGATTCATAACAGCAAAATTACATTTATGAAGTAGTGATGAAATAACTTTATGATTGGGGATCAACACAACATGAGAAGCTGTATTAAAAGATTACAGCATTAAGAAGGCATTTTTTTTCTCCCCCAGTTATAACCTTTTATAAGCATTTGTCAGATTTGTGGAACTTGTATAAAATCAGTCATTTCCAGTTTGAATACTACATGGTTTTAAGAATTTGAGCTTAGTTATGTAAGTAATGGCTCACAGATATAAATGGAGAAGTTCAAAAGGGAGCGTTAAGGGAAGTGTATTGCTTTACAGGACCTGTGGACAAAGGCTACTCTCCTGTTAAGCTTGGAATTGTAGCAAGACAGTGTTTCTAGGTTTCTAGTGGCTCATTGTTTTTGTGTGTTTTTAGATAATTGTTTTTCTCTTTAGAGAATGCTTTCATTAGTTTTATAATTTCTTGTCTTTTTTTTTTTTTTTTTTTTTGTGTCATAGTGGCCAGCTTGGAACTTGTTTACATTAGGCTGGTTGACCTAAAACTTCAGGTTGGGGGGGGGTTGAGTTGTTCCTGCTTTCCCAGTGTTGGGATTTACAGGTGTACACCGCCACGCCTAGTCCAGATATTTCCTTTCTTTATATTTAGAAACCTGCTTTTAAAAGAAGACTTAAAAATACAGAGAAGCCAGCTGTAGTGGTACACACCTGTAATCTGAGCACTGGGAAGTAGAAGCAAGAGAGTTGTGAATTTGAACACAGCCTGGCCTACATGTCAAGACCTTGTCTCAAAGCAGAATAAAATCCAACAAAAAAAAGTCCAGTGAGATGGTTTCGGAGTGAAGGTGCTTGCTGCCAGGCTTGAGGGCCTGAGTTGGAGCCCTGGAACCCTCATCGTGCAAAGTTGTTCTCTGACCTATAGGTCCACACTAAGGCAAGCGCACACATAGAAAACTAAGTAAATAACTATGCATTTAAAAAGCTTTAAAGGGAGCTAGAGAGATGGCTCGGCAGTGAACACTGGTTGCTCTTCTAGAGGACCCCGGTTAAATTCCCAGCTCCTTCAGGGCAGCTCATAACTGAGCCCAGTTCCAGGGCATCCATTTTAACAGGAATGCATGTGGCGTTAGCATGCATTCAAACACATAAAAAAATAAAGCTTTAAAACAGGAAAAGAACTAAAAGTTACAGAATGTAAGGTATTTATCAACGAGAAACTACTGATTGGTAAGAAGACATGACATTTTTTTCTTAGTGAGGAGCCCATTTTAAAATGTTGGTTTACCATTAAACCAAATTTTGTCAAGGTGTTTATTCCAAATTTCACTTCACTTTATATTCTTAATCTGTATAACTATTTGACTTAGAGAAATTAAATATAAAAGTACAGCTTACACATCACAGTTAGATGAAATAATGTCAGATGAGTCAGGTTGGCTTAATCCGTACCGTATTGAGCAGAAAGTCCTGAGCAAATAACAATTGCATGAAACACTATTTCTAGAACAGGGTGGAACTTTCACAGGGGTCACCTAAGACCATGAGGAACTGTATTAAAGGGTCGCACCGTTGGGAAGGTTGCGAGCCATTGTGGAAGGTTAAGAGTATGAAGTTCAGCAGTGTCCAGTGTAGCAGGTACTGTATATATTCATTTCATGTAGTTCTGTTAGATTAGTGGAGGTGTTCTTACTAACAGATGAGGAAACCAAGGGATCAGAATGACTGACTTTAAGGTAGCCACATCCCAGAGTATGTGCTGGTAAACATCACATCACCGTGTATCTCCTGGGCATACAGGGTGACTTCAGAAAAGGAGCTTGAAGTTGACACAGACTTAAAGGATTTTGCTGAAGCTCTGAACTGAAAGTTGTGTGGACAGTGCTCATGTATGATCATGTTGAATCAAAGCATAGAATTCTAAGAAAATCGCTGCAGACAGCTAAGACCTCACGGAGTGCTGTAATTGCACGTCCTGCTGTGTACTTGTGTTGTGCTATCCGATACAACACAAACACCACAGAGAGATCTGCCCTGTGTTATTCAGGGAATAA